GGGTTCCATTTAACTTTTTATCGTTTGAGTGGATTTTCCTTGCTTGGTCAAGCACACGATATTCAATCTTCTTTTAACCGGCTTCGGCGAAGCCCAAAGGAGGGTTATGTTTGACCTGCATGTTTGTATGTATGTCCTGTCATGTATGTATTAAACGGCTTAAAACTGATTTTAATTACGTTTACTGATTTTAATAACGCGTGTGTCATAGGGTATATTGACATTATTAAAAAGCAAAATGGCAAACAAAAATACATACAACTTATGTTTAAAAGTAATTTGGGACAAGAAATTGTTAAATAACACTCCAAATATCTATCTCATCAAAACTAAAAAGTTGTAATTTTTTTTATTATAACAATAAAAAATTCCGACTGCGTAAAAAACGATGCAAGCTAAAAAGATGGAAACAAGTTTATGAAAGAACATAGTATTATATAGTTGGATTGGTGACATATTACATCAATCCTCAACGCAAAGAATGTATCGTACTCGTAGCTATTGTGTAATGATGTTAATAATAAAATAATAAATTTGCTTTCAAACTTTAATTGAAATACATTTAAAACATTAATCGTATAGCACATTTTACACCAATTGACACACATTTAACTAGTGGCCTGGTAAATAGCTTTAAAATTAGATAAAATTAATTAAAACCTATTCCACTTTATTACTAATTATGAGGGTAGCACATGATATTATATTAAAGATTGGCAACACTGTATCTTCGTGTCACCCTATAAAATTATAAAAGGCACCATTATCATAAAAATGTCTACTTTGTACGAGTAAAAATTAAATTAAATTAAAAATTATATTACAAATGGAATGATTTAAATTATTATTAACCATATAAAAAAATTAAAAAAACAATCAATACTAAATTATATATAAAAAAAAACATTAAGAAAAATGTGAAAAAATCATCACTAAATATATTATTATTATGATAAGTAGGCTATTACTGTTTAAGAAATCGTCACGTTATGGAAAATTAATACAAATATGAAGTTGAAATGTATAAACTGGAATAGGCTCTATTTATGACAATTTTTATTATAATACGAAACTTGTAAAGATAAAAGAATAATATACAATAGAATAAAATACAATATAAGCGGTATAATACCAATATTACAAATACATTAAATATTCAAATACAGTCACACTGTTAGTATTAATTTCTTCTATAATACGTAGTAGAAAATCGATTCATGATATGATTCATTTAATACATTTTTTATCTATATTTTTGAACAATCTGAATAATTCAGTATTTATTATGGAGTGTAGAGTTAAGGAGAACTATCTCTGTGATAAAAGTGTCCGTCGAAATGCATTAAATTAGGGTGGCGCCACGGTAGTAAGAAAATTCACAAAAAATAAATCACTCTCTACATTTATATCACCATAGTTTTTTCGGTTATATTATATTCGGTTATTTACTAAGTAAATTATTTTGGACTACGTAAATAGTTTCAATAACTACTCAAGTCATCCAAAATGTACAATTTTTAAACTCAGCACACTTCACTCCGTTTAAAACTGCTAAATTCATATCATACCCTCTTGCTATGCTAGCATAATTCTGGTGGGTTTTAGAATTGTTATTTATCGCTTACAAGTGTGGACACTTTTCAACTGTCTCCCATATATGATAGATCTCCAGATAGTAGAGGTAACTCTACCCTCCATATTACTTATAAATATGTTTAAAGATAACATATATTCCATTAAAGGAATATTTTTGTTGATACATGTTTAAACGATTAATGTATTTCTCCTCTCAAGACATAAATACTGCAATTATTTTGGCATTAAACTTTTCAAATCGTTTTACGCAGCTACAAATAACAGACTAGTGAAACGTTTCTATTATAAAGTTTACAGGAAAATAAAATTTACCATTAAACTGTTATCATGAAATGGTATAAAATAACACACGATTAAATAAAACAGAGCTTACATGTTAAAGGCAGTGTTATAGTTGTATAAATAAGTTTTATTATACTAATCCTTGTCCGAGATGAGTTACTAGTAATATGGCCTAAGAGCCTGTGAACGCCAGACCTTCGTCATTTTATAAAAGCTGAAAGTTTGTCAGCGCATGCTCCCAACACAGATAAGAACGATGGACCATTATGAAGTTCAGGCTATGGTGTAATATGGCCTGCCAAAGCCACTTTCAGCCTTTATAAAATGACGAAGGTCTAGCGTTCACGGGCTCTTTCTCTAATAGGCTCTATGAGGCTGTGCTAATATAATAGATCTCAAAGCTCAGAAAAACAATCTCCCGCGCTGTTAACTTTGCGTGTCAATGTCATTAGGTTTGACTTCTACATTCTACGTGACATTGGCGAAGTAATCTGTGCTCAACTGCTATGTTTTGAAGCCATTAAAACTAAATTAAATTAAATATTAGGCTTTTATTGCAGTGAACATTACTCAAGCCACCCTTAAACTTAACTTAAAACGCAGAAATTAAAAAGACATTTATCTCTTAAGAGTTTTTGTCTCATAGACAAAATTATGAAAGTAAAGGTAAATTAAAATACTGTAAAAATAATTTGATAAAGACTACAGATGATTCTGTAATAATATCCAGGAATATTCTCTATTTTGACCATTTTGACCATTACCTGTTATGATGTTCATAATATTTTAAATAAAAATATCTTTTCGGATTTTTTCGGGAATTTATATTAATTTTTGGTTCCAACGTTTCCAATAATGGTCACAGGAGAGTTTCTACCGTAATGTGAAATAATAGTTTTATTTAAAATGGCAAATATTTGCGTAAATTTAAGAAAGAATTATAAGACAGATCAGACATTGAATACTTAATGAAAATCAAATGTTCATACCAGAAATTAGAATAGTTAAAATAAAAATTAGATGCAATTTCAAAATGGTTTCAACACCTCCCCGACAAGTCTATTTATCGAATTATTTAAGTACATACATACATATATCAAACAGCAATCTCAGACAAAGATCTCCATATAATTACATTAAAACTTTACTCAAGGTAAATTCGTTCGATCTTGTAATAATAATATATAATTAAAAAAAGTCTCATACACTTGGCAGAACGTCATTTTGACTTAAACATATTATTTTTGTGCAAAGTAACATAATCTATGTAATAAAAAAAATCTGATTCAATTTTAAAGTGACTAGAATTTACCCTGCAGCTCTACTCACTAATAAAAAAAACTTATCAGTTATCACCATTGCATAATGGTTTTTTTCTTAATTTCACATTCAAACTTCATGGTTCTACCGAATCTTATCCAACTTAAATTACATTTACGTAAATTATTATATTATATTTTATATAAAACAAATACCGATATACGATGTATTATTTCACTTTAATGAAGACAATATTTAAATTCCAATATAACAATAACAGTCAATAAAATATGCAAAATCAAATAACTATAGAGATATCATATAATTAAAATCTAACTGTTTAAATCAAACTAACACTACAAAAATGACTAGTTTCTCTTCTCATCAAATACTTAAAGATAACTTAAAGAGCACTTTATTCTCCTTAACCAAACAGTATCGAGTCATTGTGTTGGATGTACATATGTATTAGAGAACTATATACGTACAAGGTGGCTACACACGTAACTTCAAGCACGCATGAACTGCGGCTGCGCACAAGAAAAAATAAACACACAGATCCCACCCACCAAGTCTGCATCAAATATCAAGCATGCCATTTCATGTGTACGCGCCCTTAGACTAATAAGATGGCCAACCACAATCCTTGGTCCCTTTTGAGAATCAAACCCGCGTCTTCTGGTATATTAGTATATGCTATTAGAATACGTTTAGTGATGTCCCAACAAACAACCCGTCCAGTTAACACCCTGCGCGGAACGCTCGTCGCGTTTTTTATATTATTGGTATTTCCAACATTGCTTTATTTATTTTTTAATAAATAATATTATTTAATAATAAGACTTAAGGTTCGATTAATCTCATTTAAATGCGATTTCAAATTAACTGATTAGGGACTGATAATTGGGACAAATAATCGTGAATAATTCACGTCCCGATTATTTGTCCCAGTCCCGCCATTTTGCATTCGTCTGACCTTAACAAATAATGAAAGATTCAACTAAATTTTTGGTATTTAATTTTGTACTAATTTCAAATGCAATATTGACCCTAAACAAGTCTCAATAAAAAAATTCACTAGGTCTTTTGTAGTTGGTGATTTTGTTTTGCTTATTTGTTTATTATAATATAATAATAAGTAATTATAATATTACTGCTATATTTAATTCAATATGGCATGACTGTAAATCAGATCTTAATGAAGATGGTTTCATTCATAAAGTGACACGATATAAATAAAAATCAGTCTCAATACAGCTCTTGTGGCATCAATTTCCTTAATAGTAAAATAATGGCGTTCATTCATTATGATACTTTCATATACTCTCCCATAATAATATATATTTACTTATAAATGCAAAATACATTTGTCTGTTACCTCCTAACCCCTCAATGTCATTTCGTATTTTATCATATTTAATCTGTAGAGAATGAAGACAAATTAAAAAAGTAAATTATCACTTATTTAATCCCACTATATAGTTAAGTTATTCAGTTCATCACACGCAATTTTTTTTATCATACCATTACACTATGAAAGTAATATAAATATTCAGCCTATACATTTTTGCATTTAGATTAACTGGTTTGTGTGTAAACAAACCAATAAATGTGTCATAGAATTATATCTAAAAAGGTAGAACTATAATTATTATTTAAAAAATTAAACTATTACACTTTTCTTCCATAGGATTTCAGGACTGGCACTTGATATCAATTTTTTTTTAATTCCTCATTGAGACTCTCTATACTCTACCATAATAAACCAACGCCACTGTATATGAATAGAGACAATTTACGATCAAATATGAAGAAATTTGGAATATAAAAAGGAATGTATCAAAAATTACAATACTGTTTTAGCACGAGCACAGCTTTCTGTCTTGCTGTGCTTGAAGTCTTTGAAGGGACTGGCGTCTACGCCCCGAAGCGCAGAGCATTGCATACTCTACTGAAGTTTCCATTCTGAAAAAAATGTATATATTTTTTTTAAAGTAAAATGATTGCATGTTCGTTTGTATGTAACATAATATGTGATTATTACATTAACATGGTAAGTGATTTTGTGAGCGAGTATTTTGTGAGGTTACGGCAGTGATATCAAAAAATCAACAATAGGTTTGCACGCGGGTCGTACGTTGTATGTAGTACATTTTATATTTTTTGAAAAAACTAAATGAAGGATGATTTAGGATATAGCAGAAACTAAATTAATAGTTTTAGGATTTTTTATATGACTTTCTGTGTGGTTCCGCGCTCCTCAATGAAACCTAATGGATCTCCCCAAAAAGTAATATTTCCCATGCAAATATTACTCTTTTCTTCTTCTTTTTGGACCTTTATGGGCATAAATTACAAAAAAATATCTTTTTAGTGGTGAAATACTAGATATTAGCAATTAAAATTATAGATTATAAACGCAGCTTACCCTTTATTTTGCGTACTTATAAAGGAAAGGGATTTTTAATAGCCATAGACTAATTAATAAAAGAAATCATTATAAATTAAATGTAATCTCGACGTTAATGATTTCAATTTTAATTTAAAAAGGTTAACCAGAAATCTCCATATTTGCTTATATCATTTCTTATCTTACCTATACATAATCTTATCAAGAAGAATCTCAATGGCCCTGTCAATATTCTGTCCTGTTTTGGCACTCGTTTCCAGATATGGCAAATTGTAATTTTTGGCGAACTCTCTAGCCCTGTTTTGATTCACTAATCGCTTTTCTTGAAGGTCACATTTATGGCCACATAGTACTATGTCGGGGTCATTGCTGAGACTATGCGTCTGTAAATCATTCAAAACTCACTATGTAATGTAGCTGACAAATATCTATGGCTTTAAATAAAATAAGCATATTAATGCATTAATGAAGCCATCTTGCCATGAAGCAGATAAGGGACAAGGGATAACAATGTTTAAGTATACTTTGAGTTTGCAGAATTGGCCACATGCTATGAAACGTTTTGGAGGATAATATTACTATAGTTAGTAGAAACAATATGAATGGTATATCCAAGAAAAATACTTATATATTTGTTAAAATGTTTCCAAAACTCACCTTCAGTTGCTCTATCCAATTCCGAACTTCTAAAAAGGAAGCTTCATTTGTCAGATCAAATAGTAACAAAAATCCCATTGCATCTCTATAAAAAGCTGTGGTAAGACTTCGAAATCTGTGAATAAATAAATATGTTATTTAGTCTGCTAATTTTTAATAATCTATTTATTGAAGACCGATGGTTGAATTCATTGGATCATGATTTGCCTCAACATGAAAAATCAAGTCTCTTTGTATAGATATACATTATTACAATATGGGGGGCATAAGTTTGGTATATGGTATGTGGCCCCTGGAGGAGCAGGTTATATTTTTGAATAGTCCCTTATTCTATGGCGATGGGAACATACCTAAGTAAATATAGATTTTAAGGAAATAAAGAAGCTAAGTATATAGTGAGCTTAAAATCATAACATTCTCAAATATTATTCTCAAATATGGTTATGATTTTGACACTTCCAATGCTTCTGATACTGTCCTATATCTATATTATCGAGTTGGATTTGTCACCGATCAAACAATTAACTTATAAATAAAGTTCTGGGTTCAAAATAAATCAATGGCATAGAAAAAATCAAATAACCTACAAGTAAAACTTTCTTATCTTTACTTGAATATTTGACATATTAAAAAAACTATCTTTACAATTATTATTTTTTGATTTTAGACTACTCAATACCAAAACATTGTTAAATGATTTTCAAAAATACAAAAATGGGAAGAAAGTAATTTACAACATTGTTAATTTTAATTTTAAACAACTTTAAAAAGATATTGCAAGTGGTTTCTTACTATACATAGTTGTTAAAGTAAAGAAATACATTATTTAGATTTTAATATAACTTATATTATAACAGAAACCTTCACTTTAATGATTCATCCATTATTATCACCAATAAAAGTTACTATCAGTTATAGTATATTTTATCATAGTCCAATAAATTATTAATATTTAATCAAGGCAGATAAAGGTTTTATTGGAATTTAAATAAGTACTGTATATAATTAATTGGTTATGAATATAGCTTTTTGGCCCTGAATTATCAATATGAGAAGGAAGTTAATTTATCACTTTGATAAAAAAATAATGATTCACCAGCATTTTTCTACAAATTACTTATTAATTGTTTATATTATAAGTAAATGAGAACATAATATTGATGTTTTTTATGTTATTTTACTTGTCCATGCATGTTATGTCCATAATAAAATACCTTTCTTGTCCTGCAGTATCCCATAACTGTAAATGAATACGGTGTTGCCTTGCATTCTGTTGATATATCTAAAATCAGTGTTTAAAATATTAGCACAGAAAAAAATATTATGAGCATATATAACGTATACTTCTAATATTATAAGGTTAAGGTTTACAAACCACAGTCTTTTCTCTAAAATCAATTCCAACTGTTGAAATGAATTGAGTGTGGAAGACTCCGTCAGTATATTTATAAAGAAAACTTGTTTTTCCAACTCCAGAATCACCGACACACAATAGTTTTATAAGATAATCGTAGTCCATATTGCCGTTGATAAACACATTTAATTTGGAAGCTATTTATGTAGCATATTTTTATAAATAAAAAATACTTTAAGTATTTTCGCGGTAATTTCTTTTTCTGTTTAAGTCTTTTAAGTTTTAAGACTATTGATAAAATATATGCCGAATTTCACGAGCTGGCAATGAAAATTCATTCCTGAATTGAATAGTAAAAGCACGTATATAAATAATGAAATTGATATTTCTACATTTCTCAAGTCAGTTCCTGAAAATCAATTCTTTTGACTTTGACAATATAATCACAGATTAAATTGAAAGGGAAGAGCGGTAGGCCGTAGTCGGTAGTCGTAGCACCGTAGAAGTAACAATAGACTATAGAATTTAGCTAATATGGAAAGAGATTTATTATGGGTGAGACTGAAAAAAGTACTAACACAATATTAGCAAACTTATGTACTTTAAAATTATACAGTAAATAGGTGTTCATGAAGAGACCAGGTACGTCAGTAAGTATTTAACTTAAATATTAGAGATGAATCTAGCAGCTTCAGACAAAACAGACCAGGGTAGAAGCCTTTAAAAATAATAAAGAGTGAAAAATAATAATAATAGGATGAAAACCATTGGAAAAGAATGAGAATATAACAAAAATAAAAGAAAAAATAATTTACGGGCGATCTGAGGTCGGGAAGTGGGAGAGGATCAGCTTTTGAGGGTAAAAAACGGCTTAATGGTGAAAATAAAAACAACGAAGCACGTCCTTAACTTTGACATTTGTAAATGACCGGACTTTTTGATGAGTTAACTATTTTGATTTTTGAATTATTTTATAATATAACATCACTAGTGGTGAACCACATAAAGCCTTATCTGGTAACATTTCTGAGCTAATGCTGGTAACCAGTGTAGCCAAGTTAGGGACTTTCCCCCCAAATTTAGGGGTAAAAAATGGCACCGGCGATTTTTTAAGAGGCAAAAATATTTAGGGTCTTTGTTTAGGGGTTTATAAATTTACGGTTAAAGACTTCGAAAAATTATATCCCTTTTTTATTATTATTTAAGTTATCTATGGAATTTATTATTATTATTATAACCATAAATAAGTGTTTTACGTTACCTGAACATGAAATCATTTAAAATAAAAAAAAATACATAAAAACCTATATTTTTCAATTGTCACGGGGGGTTGTAGCGGGTTTTGAAATAACTTTTAAATTTTAGGGGGATTAAATTTTAAGTGTTGGCAGCACTGGTATTCATCTATCACTTTTAATTTTTATTTTTTATGAGCATTGGTGTCAAGTGTCAACTGCCAACTAAGAAAAGTTACATAAAAAATACAAAGATTAATACGAATTGAACAAAAAATTCCTATATAGATTTAGACATTACCTAATAAAATAAATGAAGATTTAATTTAACGATGAAATGGCTAATTTAGTCGAAACATCTGAACAGAATTTAGTTAGAAATACTAAAGTTGAAATTGAATTTTGGTATTTATAAGAACAATGAAATATACATTTTATTATTTATTAAATTAAGAAAATTAATTTTCCTGGCATATAATTTATTTTAAGAAGTTAGGATGTAATGAAGGTATTATTCAATATCTACACCTCACCTTGCATTCATTTTTACATTACAGTAAAGTTTGTGACTATGGAGGGCATTGTTTAGTACTTGCTGAAGAAATAAAAAAGAAGAGTCCAAATGCCACAATTTTTTGTAAAAAAGGAAGGCAAGGTATAAATAAAATACCCATCATAATGGCATCATTTGCTGTTTTATTTTATTTAGCCTAGAGTTATTTTCTCTAATTATTTATTCTTAAATAAATTACAATTATTTTTTTCAGGAGCATTTGAAGTAGTGGTCAATGATAAACTTATTTACTCAAAACTTCAAACAATGGCTTTACCCAATTATGAAGAAGTAGTTGAAGTTGTAAATGATGTATCTAAAGGAGCAGAACCAAGGGAAATAAAAGGACAACAACCAATAAACTGTGCAATATCATAATATTTAATAGTGGCAATAATTAATTAAAATAATTTAACATCACAACATAAAGAAAGATTCATAATTAAGAAAAACATTTTAACAGCCATGATAAATTTATAGGGCAAACCTTGAATTAAGTAGGTAACAAGTAACAACATTTTAGTTTAACATAGTATGTAAATATATAAAAAATATTTTTTTTTAATGAAGATTCTCCACATTCTTAAATAAAAATATTACTATTTTGTATTATAAGTATGAAAAGGTATAATTCTTATACCTGTATTAAAATATGAAATTTCAACAATTGTATAATTTGTAAATACATGACATCACTATAGTTACTCTAAGTAAATAAAAGTGAATCTTTTACTTTTATTTTACACATGTAATTTTAATATTGGCAAGTGCTATTTCAGTCTTATAATAAATAAACAATTCAGTAAGCAATTGTAAGAAAGATAAAAATAGTGTGATTTTTTTCAGACTTTTGTAAACTATTTTTCAAAATTTTGTTTTTAATGTATAAATGACATAAATATAAAAGTACTTTTAGTGATTTTATAGTTGTGCTCCTTTATTTCTACAAAACATTACTTTGCTATTCATTTTTTTTTAGACTTTTGCTATCTAGTATTTTCATTACTTTGACCTTTTTGAACCTATAACTATAGGTAAAGGATAATTAAATTCTTTTAATATTTATACGAATTGGCAAGATTATTTAGTTTCAATCAAATCATTTAAAAATATATAACATTATCTTATCTAATAATATTTTCATTATTTAAGAAAGGAGTGACTATAGAATTTGCTTGTAAAACTCGATTTTTGCATCCATTTGAAGGTTCAATATAACTCAAGTATATACCAAAACGTAATTTTCCACCAAACTCTTCAGATATTGTTCTTAGAGGTTCTACTGTTTTTTCGCCTGTTTTTTGATCAATGCATACCATCTGACACCTAGAACACTGTCCCTCAACCTAAAAAATATATATTTTACATATTAAAATGGAATGTTTTCAATTGATATAATATCTATATATTTTTTGTAAATCAAGTGATGATTTCTACACCACATTTTATAAAGGTAATTTTTTATGAATAAAGACAATTTCTAAGGGTATTAGATGTATATAACTGAACTATTTTATTTTATTAGATAAAGATATGTTAAAAAAATATTACTTAATTCTTAACTAAAATTTAATAATTATATAATTCAAAAATGTTTCAATTAGATATTGCTTGAATTAGAATATAATACTTTCTTAGATTTACGCGAATATTCGAAATTTTAAATAAAAGTATCTTCTCGGATTATTTCGCGGATTTATTTAGATTTTTGGTTCTCGACGTTTCGAATGCTTTACAGCAATCATGGTCACGGGAAAGACTGGTATTGTAATTAGAATAGTATGAGTTTGAATGAATTTCCCCAAACGTACCTTAAACTCTTGACTTCCAATAACAACTTTTTGCCATTCTCTTTCAACTAGTTCTTGAGCTGCATCAATAATAAGATTACCTCTGAAGCGATCAACCATTGAATCAATATCATCTAAAAAGGATTCATCCTTTATTTTGCTTTTCAACCATCTGACAGTTGCTTTATTTATCAAAAGATATTGAGCTTGGTTGCTAAGGGAAAGCAATTTTTGTTCTCCGGTGCCTTTTGCGATTCTATCTGATGATTGTCTTATTAATCTTAAAAAAGACATTCCTAAACAATTTGAGATCCAATCGGCAACTTCATCACCGCAATCATATCCTTTGACAACATCTGTGCATACTTTACTTTGACAAACTTGAGTTTCTTTGTAAATATTTTTTAATGAGGGATTAAGTGGAACAGAAATTGGAGATTCACCTAAAATATTTATAATGTATATATTATTTTGTAATCTTCACAAATTAAATTAATTTTTATTTATAAAATGGGACTGTCTGTTACATTTTAATGTTTATTTATTTATTAATCCTTTATTACACCAAAAATAAAAATACAATATACAAGAATATATAACTTAACTAATATTAGTGTAAAGGCGGCCTTATCACTAAAGTGATCTCTTCCAGGCAACCTATATTATAAAGAAACTCATAGGGTGACATGGATTATGGTTGGTGCAAAAAAAAAAAAAGAACTAGTCTATAATAAACTTACTTAAACGGTACATACTATAAAGTACACACAAGCTTACATAAATATCGATAAGGACATACATAAATATATATTATAATATATAAGTATAAACAATAAACATATATATTCTACAATAAACTTACATAAACAGGGCTTACATAAATATACATAGACTTATAGCGACAGATGTAAGGGTTCAACAGATTTTAGTCAAAAAATAGACATAGCTTATACTCTGCAAGCTGTTTTTTTTTATGTACTCTCCATAAAAGTGGTGCAGCCAGCAGAAATATGAGTGTAAAAATATTTTTTAATATTATTTAAATATTCTTAATATTTATTATAAGTTACTAATTATATCCACTCACTCTCGCTTTGGGTTTGTCCCTAGACAAAAACAAATGTATCCCACGAGAACCGTACATTTTTCTGGGATGATATATAGCCTGTAGCCTTCCTCAATAAAGGGCTATTTAATGCAAAAAGAATTTTTCAAATCAGATTAGTAGTTCCTGAGATTAGCATGTTCAAACAAACAAACAAATAAACAAACTCTGCCTCTTTATAATATTAAAAGTATAGAAGTATAGATGTGATAAGTTAAAAATAATATACCTTCAAAATATAATGTAAGACATTGATTTTCAATATCAATATAAGGCTGGATTTTACACATAAGTGTATTGTGCTTTTGGGTAAGACAGGCACCATTATCTTTTATTATCATCCATTCCCTATCATATTCGAACCCTTTTAGCCCAATTGGCCATCCAGACTTAATTTTTAATGCCCCACAAGATTTAATTGGGAAAATTGATATTTCACTCAAAATAACTTTGGATTCAATATTTGGTGTTACAGGATTTACTGGATTAAAAAACCTGTCACTTATAATGGTTAATATTTTTTCCTTTAGTGCTATTCCATCTCTTTTGTGCTCTTTGTTAAAATGTAAGATATCACGCTTTGGTCTGTGGAATTCTTTTCTTACAAAGCATCTAGATATCATCAAAATTAGTTTATCTATATCATTGAAAGTATTATAATAGCCAAATGATACTCTAATAGCTCCTGTAGGCTTCCCATTTATTAAGTCAACTTCATCTCCACATTTGTGACCAGCTTTATACATGCTCTTCATTTCACTGTTGGTAAATTTCAAATGCCTTTGACATGTTCCTGAATTGCAAAAGCATCCTGTTCTTATACTAATATTAAATAATTCGGCCATATGTTGAAACTGTAAAAAATAAGAAATAAAACGATTGTAATGACAAGTAATGTTGGAAAGTAAAATAATACCTAGATTTAAAAACAAAAAACCTAAAAAATGCACTTGCACAACTGTATAATGCTCCATAATCAAATCAGATTTTAAATCATAAATTATTGTATTGTTAATTAATATTAATGTATATAAATTAATTAATAGTATAAAATCATTAAAAGATATAATAACATAATTATAAGTGAAGCTAGACTGACTTGTTTAAAATAATAAGTACCTACATATCTCATAAAATCAGTAACCATATTACATTACTCAATCTATATATATATATATATATATATATATAATAAAATTGTAACTAAGTCGAATCTATACATTAAATATTTTTTGGAAAATCTAATTGAAATAGACATTATTATCGATACAGAGTCCGAATCTATAGTTTTTAGAATTTTTGTCTGTCTGTTACCGCATCACGAGAAAACCACTGGACAGATTTTGATGAAATTTGGTATGATGATAGTCGCGGGAAAATATATCATTTCTGATTGATTTGATTTTTGGTCATCTAAACGCGGGCGGAACCGCGGGCAATGCTAGTACTTAATATTTCCATTGTTATTAGGAGTTTATTTTTATCATAGCTTTTACTTAATTTATTGTTTAATGTTAGTTGTATGTTAGAATACATTGTTCTACTTCTAATAATAATTCATCTTATATGCACACGACGACTTGAAATACGTCGTTTATTCCGCGTATTTTTAACCGACTTCCAAAAAGGAGGAGGTTCTCAATTCGTCGGAATCATTTTTTTTATGCTGAAAAGCTTAAACAGGAATGTACAACCACGTTTCATAAACTGGCAAACGACGCGCACATCATAAACGAACGCCGTTTCTGCATTCTAATTAACTTCTTTAGTTCAGTGGTCCTGCAAATTCTGTGTTCATATATTTTTTTCTTTGCGTTTGTATCGATATATGCATCAAGCGCGCGCTGACAGCGTGTTCACTGCGCATTGGATAAGGACAGGCGTCGAACAGGCGTTGATGGCGCGTGAAAAACTCATCCTTGCATAGGCCCTTAGGCAAATTTGCTGCTAATAAAATATAAAGAATATTATTTTTAATTACCTCAGCATATCCAATGTAAGATCCATTTTCTCTAACTAAATTAAAAGCTAAAATTCCACCTTGAATTTTTATATCTGTAAAATCAGAATCCATGTACAAAACTGCCGCATGTCTTCCATTTTCATGTTTAAGGTTACTTAATTGTTCATATAGATCCTTTGCTAAGTAAAATGTGTGGAATGAAATTGTATCCATAACATTATTATTTACTATTTTAGGTATAAGATTGTTCATCGTCTCAAAACTATGTTTTAAGGCAATCACTGATAAAAATGGAAGTGTACCATCTTCAAATCTGAAAAAAAAATTATAGTTACTTTTTAGCTATCAGATATCACAGACAAAGAGAATTGAAGATAAACAATTATTTTAATATAACTTATTTTTCTTTTGTATACAAATATTGCATTTTGTAATTTTCTTTCATTTTTTTTAACGAGAGTACTAATTATCCCTTCTTAATAATTTTAAAATTTATGTTTAATATAATATATAAATTAGTTGCAAAAATAATACCTTTCATGTAGAACATCTCTTTTGACATGAAAACTGTCATTACTTAGAACTATATCAACTGTTCCACCACCAAAGTACTTCTTCTGGGTTAAAACATTCGCACTACTATTTTTAACTAATAAAGCACCTAAGCCAGTCGGAAATCCAAATATTTTATAAAATGACATGCACACAAAATCAGGCTGTGTGATAGATAAATCAAGATTACTTGTTGCAACAAATGATGCAGCATCTAACAGAATATACCAATTACAATTAACAGCACATAATTGTTTCTTTAGAAAACCATTTAGGCAGCCTTTTTTTATATTGCTTATACAATCAACTGGATATTTAAAACCATTAAAATTATTTTGTGCTGGGTAAGCAAGTAATGTATTGCTTTTATTACTTTTATTATGACAGGTTTTAGATTCATGTATAGGTTTTAAGGATGATAAGAATTCTTTATGAGATATATTAATAACATCAGCATTTTTTTCTTCGGCTAATTCTCTTAGACCAATGACTGAAGTATGATTATCTAATAGATAAAGGAAAGAACCTCTATCTTCATCATCATCATTACTATGGAAATCAAAGGATTCTAGGGCTAGTTTTAACGATTGTGTGGTACCAGATGTAAATATTATGCTATAAGTGGAAGCACTTGTATTGAAATGGCTAAGAACAATATTTCTAACTTGTTCTATGCAGTCCCTTGTCTCCTTGTCAGAGTGTGGATTCAAATATACATTATTTAGGAGATCTTCATTAATTTTCTTTAGTAAAGATTGTGGATATAGTGCAGTTCCTGCATTTTCTAAGTAGCACTTATCTGAAATAAATGTTTAATGTAAAATACTCAACATAGTTAAAAACTGCTAATCATTACACAATAAAAATAAAGAGTATTAATATGAATAAACAAACTTTCAAATTTTTTTAATATCCAATTTATATACAAAAAAAAAATCGAAAAAGTATAAATTTATAGTGTCAATCAATATATTTTTATATAATAATTACCTCCTAGCCTAATAAATTCATTCCTTATCCTTTGCATTCGATGATTGTCGATTACGTTGCTTAGAACAGACATCTTTTCTGTTAAAAATCCAGATTCTATTTAAACAACAGTTACTTTCTGTCACAAAATACATAATGTGAATTGTGATGAAATAGTAACAACTGTTACTTGAAATCAGCCTTGAGCATAAATTTGTAGTAAAACAGATAATAGCAGGAAGCCAGTCATAATAATGCTATATAACAAAACTTTAAACGTCAATTTAAGTAATTAGCTATTTTATATACTCGTTATCACAACCTAGGCTATACAATAAACATTAAAATCATTAAGTTGCTGACGATATCAGTTTGTTGATTGTTTTCACTTGTCAATTGTCATTTGTCATTGTCAATACCACAGTGCTGCCAACACTTGAAATTTTATCCCCCTTAGAGTAATTTCAAAAACTTCTGAAACTCCCTAACCGGCAATTTGAAAAACGTAGGTTTTGCTCTGATACATTTTATTTTATTTTAAATGATTACAAGTAGCGTAAACAACTATTTATAGTTATTATTATAATAATAACATATAACTATTTAATAATAATAGTAATAAATTTCATAGATAACTTAGAAAATAATAAAAAAAAAATTTAATGATATATAAAATATAGGTTTTTCCAAGTCTTTAAAAACGAAACTTTATAAAAAAAATTTTTTTTTATATTTAAGTCATGCTATTAAAGAAAAAAACCCCTAAAAAGCCCCTAAATATTTTTCCCTACAAAAAAACCCCGGTGCAATTTTTTACCCCTAAGTTTGGGGAGAAAAGCCCTAAGTCGGTTACACAGCAATACCATTATCCATACTACATAGAGTAATCCATAGACAATACATATAGGTCATTTATGGACTATGGCTCCTTCATAGTGAAATCTAACAACAAGTATCTATTCACAATCGCATATTTTGGGTATTATTTCTAACTAAACCCAGTGAATATTTGAATAATGTTTATAATATCAAAAATTTAAATCCAAGCCACAGAAGTGGTACCTATCACAAACATTTAAATATTTTTGATTAGTCAATATTATGGTTATCGTAAAAAGTATACATATATCGAGTGTTCAGGAGAATTTACAATGAAATATCAATTAATAATATAAGCTTTTCTTATATTTTTTTAGTTTTATATGATAAAAAAATATCTTGTCGAAGCGTAAAGACGTAATTCTCAGGTTATGTGCATTACTCGTAAAGTCAGAGTCAATCATGCTTGCATCACAACATGCAAAACATATTGTCTGTATGTTATACTTAATATTATGTTAAAATATTAACAGGTAATCACGACTATTAAATTCATTCTCATAATATTTTACCCGAGTTCAAGCAGAAGGAGGTCGTATGTTTGACGCATTTTTACCTACTGTTTATTTTTATTACATTGTATAAGTATATTTTTATATTTTACATTGTACACTGAAAACCACCGATTTCAAACCGATTTAACTCATTTAAATAAATGGTTTCTATTAAAGTATATCTAAAGATGTACCTATACTTACAGTTTTTCAGGATTTACGCCTAGACCGTTGACGCCAGGGCCTCGGGAGCTAGGCGTAAATCCTCAGGTGCACTTTGGAAAAAAAATATTTTTTTTTACACACACACACACACGCACACGCACACGCACACGCACACGCACACGCACACGCACACGCACACGCACACGCACACGCACACACACACACACACACACACACACACGTCACGTCAAACTTATACGTCTTACTTTATACGTCTTTGTGCGTCGGGGGTTAAAAATTTCTCGCAAAATAGGCGGACAGACTCGAGTTGCCGAAACAAGCCCGAATATACCATAAAATACCAAGGTAAATTAACAAGTATTGAATATATTTTCGGTATTTACTTAAAACTATTTTTGCGACATAGTCATAAAAGCTATTTTTTGTTAAAACATTGTTATTTTTTATGCTATTTTCAGTTTAAAAATAGTTTTAATTTCATGTAAAATTTATAGAAAATTAGGTTGCAGCATAGGCATTTTTTATATTTTCGCACTCACGACACTGTAATAATTTGTCACATATGAGTTGTTACTTTAAAGATCTTCAAGATTTTGATGCTCGTCTGAAGGTAATGAGTTCATTGAAATAATTGAAAGAAGTTTGTCTAAATTGCAGGTTTTGGTAGTTCTTGCTATTTTGTTTAAGCTTTAAATAAAAGAGATTTTCTGGGAGGTTCATAGACATGTATGTATATGTTTATCATAACATTTAAGTAACAAGTAAAATAGTAAATAGATGTCGACGTATTTCGTACGTCATGTAAAAAAAAAATTATTAATTACCTACTTATTTTGAGAAAATTTAACATTACATCTTTTTTACCCGACTGTGTGACGCAAAATAGGGTAATGTGTTTATCAGTCTATGTATTTATAATTAATACTTATGACTGTTATATTATATAAAAAAAATATAAAAATTCTATGTCTTTACGTTTATATTTATTCGTTTAAATAACAGTGATGCTGCACAGACGTAGGTACCCCGTACCACCTTTGACGGCATCGCCTTACTAAATTGCGTTACTCCAATTTAATTATTGCTTTTATGGAGGGCTTTTAGTAGCTTTTAGTAGCAAGTGAACGTGATCGACTCCTTTAAGTGAATTGACGTTCACGACAGAGGACATGCGCTCTACTATTTTGCTCTAGGTAAATATTTCTCTTAACAGCTTTATTTTGCTTGCAACTATAATAAACTTTTAAGCATACTAACCACTTGTACCTACGTGCCTATGATATATTATATATGGTATATATGTATTTATTATTAGATATTTGTATTACATTACATATTGCCAATGAGGAATGAATTGTTAGAAATTAACTAATATGGTTGATTTTTTATGAAAACGAAGTGAATTAAAATTAAATATATCGCTTACCGTTACGTGCCAAGTTCTTTCGCAGGTACATATTACGTAAACAAGAACTAAAATATTTTTTATAAAATAATTCTAGATATTGACCCGAATGTACCCGTAGATAACTACGATATGTCAAAGACTACTGACAATAGTAGTAGAAGATCATCTCTATGTAGGTTTAATTTTTAAAAGTTTATGTTTATAAAACAAAAGGCATTGTTTTAATGTTTGTTTCCTTAAACAATAATTGTTATTTGTTGTTAGTCAAACAATTAGAGTTGTTATTCAGTGCTAGTAGTTTTGAAAATGTTTTATATTTTTATGAACCACATATGAACTCTATATACCTACGGTGTAGGTATTTTGTACAGCATGAACGAACTTACACAGTGTCAAATTGAAGTATTTCCAAAATTCCGACTAACATTAAATTTAATGAAAACATCTTTTTTGTATGGAACTGATATTAAAATACATACGAGATAAGGTTTTTTAGTTCTAACGTACTCGTAATCTAATATATTTAAAAGAACAATATAATCATATGAAGTATACAATGCATTAAAATCTCTAGATGAAAGAAAGGGCGCTGGTAGTGATGGAATTCCTCCGATTTTTATAAAAAGATGTGCAAAAGCCCTAGCTTCACCCGTAAATGCGATTTTCAATCGCTCTCTAAGGGACGGGATCTTTCCGGACTTGTGGAAAGAAGCTTTGATAGTTCCGATTTATAAAAACGGCAGTAAAAACCTTGTCTCTAATTACAGACCAATTTCTCTACTTCCAACACTGGGTAAAGTTCTCGAAAAAATGATAAACGAGCGATTATCTCGGGATCTTAAGCAACAAATTTCTTGTCATCAGCACGGCTTCCTACAATCAAGATCAACCACTAGTAATCTGTTAAGCTTTACTTCGACGCTGTCTGAACACATTGACAATAGAGTTCCAGTCGATGCAATCTATACAGACTTTAGTAAAGCATTTGACAAAGTAGATCACATAATTTTATTGGAAAAACTCTCACAATTCGGTATTAGTGGTACTCTGTTGTCTTGGTTTCAATCATACCTACAAAGTAGGTCCTTCAAAGTAGTTATTAGTGGTCACAGCTCGTATACCTGCTCGGCGCCATCCGGCGTACCGCAAGGTTCTCACCTTGGTCCATTACTCTTCAATGTTTTTATTAATGACATAACAAAGTGCTTTCATCACTCAAAATTCTACTTATTCGCAGACGACCTAAAAATAATAAAACCTATTAAAAATAACGATGATGTGACTAAACTACAAGATAATGTTAACAGACTGATAAGCTGGTGCGTCGAAAATAAGATGTCACTCAACACGTCTAAATGCCATTACATTCAATTCACTCGCAATAAAATCGCTAACCCAAACAAATACTATATCAACTCACATCAGATTTCCCAGGTAGATACTGTTAAGGACCTTGGAATTACATTAGATGCTAGTTTGCGATACAATACCCATATCTTAAATATTGTATCCAAGGGTTTTAAGATGTTGGGATTCGTACTAAGAAATAGTAAAGAGTTTAAGATGGCGTCCACTAAAATCAAATTATTTAATACACTCGTCCGTCCTATCTTGGAATACAATAGCATCATCTGGAACCCACATTATGACTTTTACACCAAAAGGTTAGAAAGTGTACAAAAACGTTTCCTCTATCATCGTTCTTACAGTGATACTACGGCTAAAAATCTCCCTAACTATCACAATAGACTTAAATATTACAAGATGACTTCGCTCGTTTGTCGTAGAAAAATAACAGATATTATAACACTCTATAAAATAACCCATTCGAAAATTGATTGTAGTGAATTACTACAGTTTCTAAAATTTAACGTACCCTCTCGTTTGCCTCGGAAAAATACATATAGTTTGTTTTATACTCCACTGTGCGAAACAAATTTGAGATATCACGCCGCTATTCCAAAGATCTGTCGACAGTACAATACGCTTTCTAAACAACATGTTGAATTAGATATCTTTTCCACTAATATGTTTCAATTCAAAAGTAGTATTACTAAATTCTTATCGTAACTTTAGTAGAAATGTTTAAATATGTTGTAATATGATTTGTTTCTTTTTTTTTTGTGTCTCTATATATAGTTTCAGATTTGTTTCTAGACGTTAATTTTTTCTTAGTTTAAACTTAGTTATAACGTAAAATAAATTAATGAGCAAGCTGTGGTCTCCTATAAGTGAAGGAGCACACGTATTGTGAGTCTTATTTGCTTTTTGTTTTTATATAATGTTGTATATTGTGTGTATCTTTTGTTGGAGATCCTAATTAAAATAAAATAAAAATAAAATAAAATAATCTAAATTTCGGAATTCTCCAACGGTTTTCATGAAATTTAGTATGCAGGAGGTTTCGGGGGCGATAAATCGATCTGGATTAGTTTTATGTCTGGGAAATCGCGTGTTTTCGAGTTTTCATACGGTTTTGTTTTGCATTATTCCGCGCAAAATATGTTCACTAAGGTCGCACGCTAAGTCATAAGCATCGTAGTCAAGCGGCCAAGGCGCAAGTTTGACAACCACAGGTGTCTGTCTGGGTTCGTATTCCGGTCGGATACAAAGTTTTTACTTTTGTTTCTTTTGTATTTATTCAATTTTTTTTATGTTTTCCTGGCCAAAAACTCCGAGCGAAGCTCGGTAGCCCAGGTACTAAGATTAAAACATGAAATTAATTTCAAAAATACAGTCTTATGATTTGACTACTGTTATAAAAAAATGTTTATTTGTATGTAAGGAATAATTTCTTAAATTACAAAAACGAAAATTATGAGTAACAAAAAATATTTTCTTAGACTATGTCTAAATAAAATAGGTTGTTTTTTTCGACGATCGACTTCCAGAGCCGTAGATAGAAAAATTAAATAATTTTCAGTGCTTGCTTTGTACGATCGGTTGAATGAGCTCAATATATAGCCCCCATAGTCAATTTATTTGGTCATCAAAGACGGTAGTCTACATACTGGGTATGAGTATATGGCTAGCAGCATCTATTACTGGTTAGCATAGTACGGATCTAGAAAAAAATACTGAAAGCTACATAAGATCATTAAATATGTAAAAAAGTAATCGACTATATTTTTATGAAAAGACAGCTGGATAGAATATATTCGTTAAATAGATATAGCTATGATAGAGCTGGTGATAAGCAAAACTATATTGAATATACAGACAAACATAGGCGTTTAAATTATTAAACACTCCTGTTTTCCTACAGGTCAAAAGAATCCAGACTAATGTAAGTACATAATATTATACTATATTGTGCTCCTAAGATATCATATAGAATGAACATAATATTTTACATACTAGTAAAGAGGTATGTACGAGTAGGTACATATCTATACATACTCGTATAATAAAATCTTAGCCGAATCTGTAAAATATTATTGAAATAGACTTTATTGTCGATACACAGGCCAAATCTATAGTTTTTAGAATTTTTGTCTGTCTGTCTGTAACCGCATCACGGAAAAACCACAGGAGGGATTTTGATGAAATTTGTTATGGTGATAGCTAGTTATCCGGGTCAACATATAGGATACTTTTTACCGCGGGAAAATATCTCATTTCTGAGAAAAAAACAAAAATTGCAATGTAAGAGTATACTAATACGTAAAACTTAAGAATTTGGTTTTTCTCATCTGAACGCGGGCGTAAAATTGTATTTTCTGTACCTTTCCTTATTGTAAAACTTTTTATTATAAGACAACTTTGCGCAAAGTTCTATGCTTCTAGGACCAGTAGTTTACTCCAAGTGTTGCCTATCAATAAGGGAATGAATATATAAATTTATGATTTTATTAAATTATCAGTTTAAAGAATTTCGGATTAAATCGGTTTAAAATTAGATAATGTATGTACATAAATTTCGTTCACAGGGTAACGTATTTTTAAGCACCTACAAGTATGTTACTAGTAAAAATTGGCGTGCGAACATTCTTATCGCTACTCTAAAATACAATAAGCACTGGATTATAGCTATAAAAGGCATGAATTTCAAATTATAATGGGAATTAATTTTTGTCCACACAATCGTTTTAATATAAACATCCGGCATTTATTGTAAAACATTCGTTTCAGGTTTCACACATAATATGTATGTATGTATTCAACCCATTTTAATGTCCCACTGCTGGACACGGACCTCCCTTCAGTACGAGGGGAATCAGGCCATAGTCCACCACGCTGGCCAAGTGCGGATTGGCGGACTTCACATGTCTTTCGAAAACTTGCTAGGTTTTTTCAGACATGCAGGTTTCCTCACGATGTTTTCCTTCACCGTTAAGACAAGTGATAATCATATTGGAAATGATTCGCACATGAAAATATCAGTGGTGCGAGACCCGGGATTTGAACCCGCTTCACTCGGTTTCCCAAGCGAGCACGTTACCACTAGGCTACCACTGCCTCTTTTGTAAATTATTTACTATGCACAATTAAAGTAGGCTTTTACCTAACCTCCTAAATGTGTAATTATTCATTGACTCTACCTACATTGTAATAATAGTAATCGATTGTAGACAACCACCCATACCACTAAGGTATAATAATTTTGTAGACAATAACATTGTAAAAAAGGTCTCACATTCGCCCGTATACTTTAGCCAGGTCTGTAAAACTTTTTCGGCTTCAAAAAAAACCTCTTAAATGCGGTCGATTTTTGCGTATTAATATAATAAAAAGTCAAGTTCACATTACGGCAAGGCCATTGTTGTTATGCTTGCTTATAGGTTTATCATTCGATGTATCAACTTATAAGAGTTCAAAAGACTCTTCCTTTTTTACTTAAACATAAGTTTTATAAATTCAGTAGGTACTCAAATATAAATAATTATTTTGTATTTTTGTTATTTTATACAACAACAATGACCTTTATCTTTATATATATAAAGAGCATTTATACTTACATTTAAAAATTAAATGTATGTAAAATTATAGAAAAATAATTTTAAGGTAAGAGGTCTTGTATGGACCCATCGCCACTGGTACAACAAACTAAAAACTAATCGTAGGGAGACGACTAATCATGATCATATTTAGCAGATTTTTTCTTTATTTATTGAAAGGAAACTCGTCATAGTTTTTTCAAAATTTAGTACTATGTTAAAAAACCTTTTAAGTAACCAAATTATAAATTAAGGTAACTACTTATAAATTCATTGTCAAGTTACACGCAACTATTAACCAGTTTTTAAGTATACATATATTGTTATAAGAATAACATTGACTTTAAAGCATTCGTATCATTGCCTCTAGATTCACGGTTCCGGTAACATGTGATTTCCGATTTACAAAATGGATATTTTTTGTTTCGCGTCAGTTGTGTTTTATATTTTTTTATTCAATATAAAGAATTCAAATAGTGTTTTTTATTTTGGAAAGGAAATTGGAGAGAGCTATTCAAATTCAGATGCTTCGTTGGACTCTGCACAGTTGTTACAGAAATATAATTACACTACAGAAACGCACATCGTGATTACCAACGACGGATACAGATTGACCGTATACCGCATACCGGGAAAGGGACCACCTGTACTACTTGTTCACGGAATTGCAGACAGTTCAGATAGCTGGTTGGTGCTAGGACCGAAATATTCCCTGGCCTATCAATTGGCAGACGCCGGGTATGATGTGTGGCTTTTAAATTCAAGAGGTAATCGATACAGTAAGGGACATATCAGAAATTTACCACCAAAATTATATTGGGATTTTAGTTATGAGGAAATGGGATTACAAGATCTACCTGCTACGATAGATTACATACTTTCTAAAAGGAATTTGTTAAAATTAATATATATCGGATATTCACAAGGAACAACGGAACTATTCGTGATGTGCAGCATGCGGCCTGAATATAATGCAAAAATTGAACATGCAATATTATTAGCACCAGTGGCTGGACTACAACATCTTAAATATCCATTTATAAAATTTTGGTCCCGTAATTTAAATGTTGTAATGTCTTTGACTGAAAAAATTGAATTATACGAGGCCTTTCCTAGTAATGAAAACCTTAACAAGTTTCATTATACAGTTTGTAGGCTGAATTCTTTATATAAAATAATATGTGAATTGGAATACTACAAAAATTTTGGACTACCTCGTCTTACCAATTTGGTATCAGAAAAGCTTCCAATATTAACTGCCCATGTACCAAGCGGTACTTCTGCTAAGGTATTTTTCCATTTCATACAAGGGTATTCAACCCAAAAATTTCAACGTTTTGACTATGGAAGAAGAAAAAACCTGGAATTATATTGGTCTTCGATTCCTCCGGAGTACGACGTTTCAAGAATAAACGTGCCCCTGACTATATTTGCTAGTGAAGTTGATTGGTATAGTAATAACAAAGATGTAGCAAAATTGTTAAGTAAGCTTAAAACAGTAGAAAACTATGTTTTCCTAAATGAATCCGTTGGATTTACTCACCTTGAATTTGTATACGGATCAAGAGTGAACTCTATTATTAATAGGCCAGTGTTAGGTATTTTAAAAAAAATTACAAAGTTATAGAGCGTATAATTTTTTTATTATTTACTAGCATTAGCCGCGGCTCCGCCCACGTTCAGATGACCAAAAACTAAATTCTTAGGTTTTATATATTAGTATACTCTTACATTGCAGTTTTTGTATTTTTTCTCAGAACTGAGACATTTTCTCGCGGTAAAAAGTATCCTATATGTTGACCCGGATAACCAGCTATCAAAATCCCTCCAGGGGTTTTTCTGTGATGCGGTAACAGACAGACAGACAGACAGACAAAAATTCTAAAACTATAGATTCGATTCCTCTATATCGATAATAATGTCTATTTCAATAAGATTTTCCAAAAAATATTTAATGTACAGATTCGGCTTAGTTACAAGTTTATTATATGTATAGATTATTTATGAAGTATAGATTATAGATGGCAATGACATTTCGCAGTGAACTACTTTGATAATTGAATAAATATACTCTTTGCTCACTTTTTTAAATAATACTTAATAATATAATTAAAATATTTATTTTTATTTAATAGTTATTGGACTCTTAAAATAAGTAAACTAAAAAAATCTGTTTCGTACAATATTTTCTTAAGCTGTATACCTTGATTATGAAAGGTGACAAAATAATTTACATTCATCAATGAGGTCGAATAACAGTGACATCGTCGCTTGCAAACATGAACATTCGATTTAATTTTTATAGTTTATAAGTAGCCAATTGAATTGATATTTTTTTTTAAATGTAATGATTTTGTCATAAAATGTAATGATATTTTATTTTTTGGTCTTAGAAATTTTAATTGAACCATTAATTTATTTATTTATATAATAATTTATTATTGTTTAAACAAAAACATGTGATAATAGATCTATAAAGAAAAGACAATTTTACAAGAAAAATAAAGTAAAATGAAACTTGGCAACATTTTCTTTTATTTACTTTCATGCAATTTTTCTTGATAACTTAGTAGAATGTTATTTTAAACACTTTTTGTGAACTTTCTTTTCGCGACCAGTGAAACACTGCGCGTTGTTTGATATACTTAAACGTCGTGCCTTTTATTTACCAGATCGTCATTAACATATATACTTAATGTAGGAAGTAGTACCTAAAACTAGTAACCAGATTCTAAACATTATTTCACTAAAACCCCAAACAATACGTATTAATTACTATATGGTGGCACGAAGCTTCCGGTATATGGAGTCAGACTCGCACTTTTTTTATTTGTTTAAGCGCATCCCAAGGATATTCAATCATCTCGGAAATATTCTCTTTCTCTCTCAAGTTTCTGGATTGGATCTCAGTATGCGTCGTGGTAGATAGATAGCATTATCACACTACTTAGTTTAAAGTTTGTATGTGTGCTCATGTGTTTTAGGCAGGTTAAAAACTCGAGTAATACATATGTAGGTCGATATTGGTAATAAAATTAGCCCAAAACGTAGAGCTGCCGGTATATATAACAAATATAAATACAAAAGACACTTAGGACGCACCAAAGCGAAGCGAAAATTTGGTAGTTGAAGTAGTACATTAATATAGCCGTTAAGGACCTAGAAGTATTTTACATATACACACGTACATATATTATAAGTATTGTACTTTTTTTTAAGAGTTTTACTTGTTAACGTTGTTTTTAATAGGCAATTTATAATAATATTAAAAATAAACTTTATTTTATGTGGCCATTTTCGTAATTTTCATCCGGATATTGGATAAATATAGCGTTACCCGCGCGCGGTTACGCGGAAGATTTTTGCCAACACGGTGGTAGCGTCTGAAATTTGTGATGGAAATGATTAATGTTTTTAGGAATATAATAATCCAAGCATTAAATGAGATATTTACTGAACTGCCAATAATATTATATACATACAAATAAATTACTTTATATTATCCTGTGTTGTTTTTTACCTGTGACATGAATGTCGGAAAAAACAGCCTTTGTTACTTTATTACGGTATAGAAGCTTTCCATCTCCATTTTGAAATTCACTCATCCGTTAAGCGGTTACGGCATCAAGAAGCGACAAATGTTTTTTCTCATTCATTTCATTCTCATTTTTACAAACTTTCAGATTTATGATGGTAGTGTGATTTTATATATCATATTTAATTTAGAAGATGGGCTTTCATTTATATTATTAATTGGAGTTTTTTTTTTTTTATAATGGATGTGATTGTTATTCCTGTCTACCTATTTTAACACCTCCAGGTAAGTTTTCTTAAACCTGGAGGTGTTAAAATGCATTATACTCTACTTCACAGAAATATACGTAAAGATCTTGAAATGTGATAGCTGTCGTTGCGCCCTTGGCCACAACCTCTTCGCAGCCAGGTGTAAGCAGGTCATATTTTGTTACATTTATACGTTCATGGCGTATATTCATGATTTATATATCAAATTAAAGCTATTTTCTTCTGTACCTGATAAACTACGTCCGCCTATGTAAAAGTGGACGCAATGGAAAGAAAAAGAATATAATATTATATATCATTTGTCAGACAATAACAACGGTTACCATGGCAACAGACAGTTAACTAACGCGCTAACTCTCTTTCACTTTAATCTATCTTTGCCGCTTTTTTTGAGAACACTTTTAAGATGTTAATTGTGTGTCTTGAGTTTTTGTATATAATCAATGTTGCCCTTATATCGACAGTTCAACGAATATGTAAAGCAATTTATAAATTCACCAAGGTAAAGCCGAAAACGGTTATATAGACTCATCAAACATGGAGTTAAATTCGTCTCTTAGTTAAACTTACCACGGCCGTGGCCTTGGCCGAGGACAAATCGAGACGCCTTGCTATGCCTTTCTAAATCGTGTCAATAACGTTGAACCTCGCGTCGTTTAAGTTATATAATAATAATAATAAAAGGTATACACACTAGGCAAAGTCTGTATCCCCCCCAACGTGCGTTCACCTTGTCGTGGTGGGGGGGCTCAGTAGCAGTAGCGAAGCTAAGAAACGCACAGGGAGGTTGCCCACTTCGGTGGGCGGTGGGTGGTGGCCCTCTTCGGAGGGCGGTGTACCATGCGGGTTGCTCCTGGTACTTCTCTGATAGCAGAGTGGACTGTGGAGCAACCCCATGGTTATGGTGGTCTGCTTCGGCGGACCTGCCGTCGAGGCGTCGTAGTTGAATGCGTAAGCGATCCTGCGACGCCCCATTAAGACGGGGGAAGGTTTTGTTGGGTTTTAGTGGGTAGTACTGGCTGTATTACGCCGGTGAGTCCCACACGTCGTGCGTAAATGCATTTCCCAACGTTAAAAAAAAAAAATAAAAAAAAAAGGCAAAGTCTGTATCGTGAGTACCACAAGTTGATTTACAAAAGAAATATTGTTGCTCGGTAAACATTGCTAGCAAAAGTTATATATGACAAAGAAATATATAAAAACTATAAATAAATGTATTGCATGTTTAATTTTGCATTTATAATAAGCTCATAAAAAAAAAGAAAAAGGAAAGAACGAAAGCTTAATTAATACTAGCATTGGGCGCGGCTCCGCCCGCGTTCAGATTACCAAAAATCAAATTCTTAGGTTTTACATATTATTAGTATACTGTTACAATGCAGTTTTCAACCGACTTCAAAAAGGAGGAGGTTCTCAATTCGCCTGTATTTTTTTTTTATGTTTGTTACCTAAGAACTTCGTCATTTATTAACCGATTTGGACAATTTTTGTTTTGTTTGAAAGGGTATACTTCCAGATTGGTCCCATTTAAATTTCAAAAAAAAAAATATCACCCCTAAGGGTGGAAAAATAGCTAATGATGGATTTAACCTACTTCTAATTGTCATATTGACTTGAAACTTTGCAAGTGTTTCTATTTCCGTTGATAGTACAGTGGTTCAGTATTGTTGATCTGATCTGATGGCAAGGCCAGAAGGTGGATAGGTGGAATTCTTCAACGGCTAATAGTAGATACTTTGAGTTTGGGCTTATTTTGTTTGATTTGACAAGCCTAACACGTTAGAATTCTTACTTTGCTACTACTGTCTACACTAAAAAGGGAAATATACAAACTTGATAACAAAAAAATAAAAACCGACTTCAAACAAAAGCACTAAAAAGTAAAAAATAACTGATGAACTAAGTAATTAAAGCCTACCTATTAAATACATACCTAATCAAATATTTTCGAAATCGGTGCCAGCCCATACAGAGCAAAGCACACCGACTTCGAAAATATTTGATTAGGTATGTATAGTAAATGAAAACTACCAATCAGTTATTTTTTACTTTTTAGTGCTTTTGTTTTTGTATTTCTTCTCAGAAATGAGATCTTTTCCCGCGGTAAAAAGTATTCTATATGTTGACCCGGATAACCAGCTATCTCCATACTAAATTTCATCAAAATCCCTCCAGTGGTTTTTCCGTGATGCGGTGACAGACAGACAGATAGATAAAAATTCTAAAAACCATAGATCGGCCTCTATATCGATAATAATGTCTATTTCAATAAGATTTTCCAAAAAATTTTAATGTACAGATTCGTCTTAGTTACAATTTTATTATATGTATAGATGAACATAATATGTACATATCTATTATCTACACAGTTGCACAGTTTAGGTAATTGATGATGCCCATTACGATATCATAAATAAAGTTTTCTGTAGAATAATAATATAGTTAAAGTAGCGAACTAAGACACCACTTTTGTCTTTGCTTCTTAACTGAGCAATGTTTAATGTCATTAAAACGGACAACCTTGATATATATTAACATGTCACTATATGGAATAAAACGTTTTGCAAAACACGACCTTACATTCGGTAAAGGAATCTTAAAAACTCGACGGGCTAGTAAATTCTTGTATTCCGGAGACAAAATAACAGTTTTATGAACATTGATAGTCACATTTAAAATAAACAATTGGCGCATTCTTAATGTATTCAGCTCCATTTTTTTTTATAATGTCCCACTGCTGGGCACTGTCCCTTCGATATGAGGGGGATCAGGCCAAGTGCGGGTTGGCGGACTTCACATGTCTTTCGAAAACTTGCTAGA